ACTAAATGGTGATTAAAAAAGTGACTAATTAACTGCATGAATATTGTTTGAATGCAAAGAACTGCAGATCAGGGAAAGGAGAAAATCTTTATTTTTAACAGCTGAGTTTCAGTTTAAATATTACGGCTTCTTTGCACTTATTAACTGTGAAATTATGTAGCTCGCACAGTATCTTAGTCTGTACATGGGTTCGCGATGATTTGAATGCACACACAACCAATGATAGCTTGATAAAGTTTATTTTCCCAAAAGAAAGACTTTACAATTCTCAACACAATGCAATGCAAAACGTATCAATAAGGCGAAGCTCTCACAGAGATCTCAAAACTCCAGTCAGCTCTGAATAATTACAGACAGCTGATGTTCTCTCCAGTCTTATATACAATTTTCCACCTGCCACCAAGACATTACTAGTATCTTCCATCTTTCAAACTTACTAGAAGGTATATTACGGTTAAAGTTACATATAGAGATCGGTTACAGCTACATGAAAGGATCAATTACAGTTATACAGGGACCGGATCGAAACATCTTAAAGTTTGGGCAAATTCTTGTCAAATTTGGCGACAAAAATTAGTCTCCAAAACCATTGTCAAGTTGCCGATAACTCGCCAATTTAGCAAGACAACCATTTAGCTCAACGCAGACTTACTTGCCTCTTATTTTATTTTTCCAGCAAAGCTGCACTCTCATGAGACTTTTCGTGTTACATTATGCAGAAGATACTACAATTTCACACATAATTTCAATAAAACTATTTACACATAATACAAAATTTCTAACATTGTGTAAGCCAGGGTACTACTGCACTGTTTATTTAGAAAATGTTTCGTATGTTCCTGATGTGAGATGGCATTTATTTTTTTAGAAAGCTAGACATGATGGCCAAGAAATAAATGACCAAAATGAACTGTAATGAAAGAGAAAACAAGTCACTCTATAAATTATCAGACGAGATTTATCTATTGTTTAATGCATTATGCTTAAGTATTCAGCATTTTCGGCAAAACTTAATATAGCTTCAGCCTACAAAATAATTAAATTATGACACAAGTGTTGCAAAATTAGCTGTTACAGAATAGCAATGAAAGAGAGATTGTTATTCTAAAGATATGGATGACTGAACTCAGTTAAAATGTTTTGTGAATGTTTCGCATTATAAATGAACCTATTAACACTGTGCTGAAGAGTATTAAAATACTATATTTTAAAACAGGATCTTTCATCTTGTCTAATTATTAACAAGCCAACCATTTTTTCCCACTTAAACTAACAATGATGATTACGACAAAAAGCATCCAGTAAAAATACAGTACAAAGTCTTTAATCCGGACTCGTCAGGACTTCGACAATTCCGGATTATAGATCATCAATTTAAATCTGGTAAGATGGCATGCAGAAATTATAAAATTAAAAATATGAAACCGTAATTTATGAAATAAACAGCAATTATGATCTAAAAAATATCAAAATTTACAAAAAAAAAAAAAAAAAAAAAAAAAAAGCTTAATATTTGTTTACTTTATTAAACCTTTCTTTCAATGTAATTTGTTTAAGTTGCTTCATTTCATGTGCTAATACTTTCTCTTTAATTCTATAAACAGACATAATTTCTTGCTCAATTACAAAGTTCCGCCGTTCAAGTCCTGTAATTGCTGTGCCGAGAATACCGACTAACTCGTCAATCGAAATTTTTTCGTTTTCACTAACCTCTCTGTCACTTTCTTCATGCCTTTATCCATTTTTTGCAGCAATTCCACTTTTTGTTTGATGGACATCAAAACATGCTTTTGCTTTGTAGATCCTTTGGCAGCTCCAGAATCGGAAACTGTCTTTGACATAATCGAAAGTTCAAGCTTACTTTTTATAAAATTGCTCTAACAATCTGCAAAAAATAATAAGCCGGATCCAATTAGAAGATTAAGGAACAACGCAATCTGCAACATTAATTGAAATAGATAATTAGATCATTTTAGCCTAGCTTATACCATCCATTTTACATTAAACGTGCATGCATAAACATATTATGCGCATGCATAAACGCTACGCATGCACAGAAAGTTTGTAGCTTTGAAGTCCGGAGTATAGATCATTCCGGATTATAGACGTCTGGATTAAAGACTTTGTACTGTATGAGGCATAAAAGAGGCACTGATGCAAGTCCTACCATATATATTGATTTTTATAACCGGACACTAAGTGAAGCCCATCAACCACTATTTCAATCATATCAGTATAAATCACAGGTTTAGTGAGCTGATTAGTGCATGTTATTGTTTGTGTTACAGTCTGCTTGTTATGCATTTATTTATTGTATTACAAGCATGTTAGCTTTACATACACTACCTGACAATGAAAATGACACCAAGAAGACACCGAAAGTGACGAAACGTGGCAAAAAGAGAGACACAGCAATGAACAATAAGTAATCTTTATTTCAAAATGATATGCATAATACAGAACGAGAACAGTGTCGGTTCAGTAGGTTGTAAGAACACATTGAACAACGATACACAAAGCAACATGTCTAGGTACATAGTCAGTGAGACTAGAAATGGCATCCTGAGACATGGTTTTCCATTCCCCGTCAACCACTTGCCACAGTTCATCTTCTGAATGCAGCAATGGCTGGGTCTGCAAATGACATCCAATCATAACCCAAATGTATTCAATTGGTAAGAGATCGGTAGGTAGAGAATGGTGGCCAGGGAAGCATGTCTACACCTGGTAGAGCATGTTGGCTGATGTGAACAATGTGTGGTCGGGTGTTATCCTCCTGATAAAGGGCACTCGGCACTCCCAGAAGCTATCATCGACCACACGACCGCAGCACATCATCCACCTATCACTGAGCCATCATAGTGCCCTGAATACGGACTAGAGGTAACCTGGAATCATACACAAGTGCACCCCAAACTACTGTGGTGTGGCATTCCACAACTGTGTGCCACCCCAAACTATTGTGGTGTGCCATTCCAAAATTGTGTGGTGTGGCATTTCACAATTGCTACAAGATTGGACCTATCTCCAAACTGATGCCATACTCATACGTGGTGACTATCATTAGAGAAACAGAAGCGTAACTAATCTAAGAACAGAACCCTGTGCCATTTTGTCATCCACATCGATCGAGCCTAGCAACGGAATCCGTTGAGCCTGCCCTTTTCCTTGTTCCAACCACCGCCGCCATAGCTGGTGACTGTGGCGCATCCACGTGCTGAGGTCTGTCGATAGGACCATCCTGCTCTTCTCAGTCCAATCACCATGCACCTCATAAAATAGTGCCTCTTGAAACTACCTTCATTGACGATGGTCTGGTATTCCCTGCTATTACACGAGTCTTCTGAGACAAAAACAAATTTTCTATGATGAATTTCCTAGGAGAAATAATGGCACAAAAATTGAACATTCTGCAGGTTCCTTCCCTTATATCTTCAATGCACGCGGGGAAAGCTGTGCATTTCCCATCATTCACAAACCTTGTTGAGGAGCATCTACTCTGAAATTTGCATAATTCTGGGGCCACTCCAAACATTTAGTTAGAATATTCTTTAAAAAAGTAACATATTAGAATGCGAGATTCTCTCAACTTACTAGATAGAATTATATGTTGTAAATAAAAATATCTTTATTTCAGAATCTTTGGCATATAATATTTCTTCATTAAAGCCTTTGTAGAGTATGGAGATCAAAGGTAATAGTTTAATAGCAGAAAATTCAGGGAATTTTTGGATTGCAGATTTCACTGTAAATGAAAATAGTCCCATTATCTGAAAGTTAATTTTATGGTCCGAGTTATTTCATTTGCTTCGATTACAAATACTCAAAATGTAACACATACCATATTTACTTGTGTGTTTTTCCTCTTCGTGTCCTCCCAGTTTTTTAGCACAAGATTTTGAAATTTTTCCCTACAGTCACAATTCTCCCTTTCTATGAGGCACTCAGAAAGCGAGCTTCACAAAATTTTAAAAATGGATCTGTCTCCATAATGATTGTTTCCATTTTACTAATGGATTTGCCTGTAGATTTAAGTGCATGGGCTCTGATTAATGGAGGATTAATACTGAAGAGCTTCAAGAAAAGGGAATATCTAATGCCTTTCATAGCTCCGAAGATCATTGCATGTGAGAAAATAAACTGAATGGTGTAAAAAATAGTGACAATGGTGATTAGACTGACAATGCGTAAGTTGTAGTAAATGGCAGAGGCAACAGTTCCAGCGGCATTAAATAATTTGAAGCCTAGGGAGTTCCAATGGATGACAATATGAGTGGGCAACATTCAAGATACAAGGAAGTACAAATGAAGATGTCTCATTACATACAGTATTAATATTACTATGTATTCTTATTATATTGAAGGTTTCTTTTAAATAAATAAGATTGTGATAATTACCATAGTTAATCCATGAATATTTTTCATTTCATATGTTCTTACAAAAACTCTATCTATTATTCTAATAATTTCCCTCCTCTTGATATTCGCAAAATAAAATTAGTGAAAAGGGGGGTAATAGGCAAGTAAATACTGCATTTTTTAATGGCAGCAGCAATGATGGGAGTTGTTTCAATAGCTGTTTGCTCTTTACAGCTACACAAGAAAAAGCAACTTTTCTGCTCATTTTGCTTTACTTTTAAGGTTTGTCAGAAGTAAATCAACAGGTATCTAGTGTTATATAAAAATATGCAATGATCCCTTTTTATCACCCAAATATAGTGTAATTAAAATGTACATGTTTTACATCAAACTTGTTCTAACTTTAACATGAAACAATTTTTTACCAAACTTTAGAAAATATGCTTAAATGACATTCTAGAATAAAAACTGCAGTTTTGAAAAAAGCAGTACTTGAAAGCTTAAAAAAATTATAACTGTCTACATTATAATAATACATACCTTCAAGAAATATAAATTTTAAACATACATAAATGATTTTATATTATTTATTTGAATCTTGTTTACAAAATATTAAATATCTACCTAGAGATATACATTACCCTGTGTTTAATATTTCTTCATATAAAACCAATTTGCAAATATTTTCTTCCAAAATGGGGTCAGAACTCCTGTTACCAACATCTGCTCTATTCCAATGAGATTCAAATGTTGCATGAATGGTGGAAAACTGGTCAGGCTGCTGAGTGCTGTCAGTACTTACATAAGGATATCTTTGATTAAAGTTCATGATTTATAGGCAGAGATGGATTTTTAGTCTTTAAAACAATAAAAATCTGTTCTAGTCACCAGTTCATTAGTGTATTTTAGATGGCCATGTCCACCATAGACAAATCATATCATTTAATCCAGATACATCTGAAAAAACATACGAATATGATAATTTATTTACATAACATATTATTTTTAAACTTAGTAATCATATTAAAATAAAATTAAACAAACAGATATACACCATGTTTGACAGAGTGATCCAAAATTCAGAAACCATTTAAAAATTGTATATCAGCAAATTTACAATAATCCTAAATATATGGTTCTGTTTTTGAATTGCCACTGCTACTGGTCAGCATTTAAGCTAAAGTTGTTATAAAACTTTTTTTTTAACCCAGAAAAGATCATTTTGAAACACTCGTGTAAAAGAGTTATGACCCATCACTTGAAGTATGAATAACTATCTGGATTTATAAACTTCATTCCCTGTGATTTGGGTTATGAGGCTTTCAGAAGTCAATGTTCTACAGACATCACTCAATATCATTGGCCATTTTAAAAGATACTAGCATTTACCAAATAGTCTTTAGAAAATGCTGCCCATACTTCAGTAGCTGCCCCTGGTGATATTCCAAAGAATTACTTGCTTTCTTATTTAACAAACAAGAAACACTCAAAAAGGAACTTCAATAATACATTTTATTTTAAATGTTTAGGTTCTTTTGCTTTTTATGTTGCCATTCTGAGCTATTAAAAAATGACTGTAACCTCAACTAGTTGAGATCACAAAAAAATACTACAAACATAAAAAAAAAAAAGATTGCATTTAAAAATATGCATATGTACCTCATAAAATGAAAATAAATTGACCTTTCAATTTAAAACCACTACATTTACTTCCCTATAAGTACTGAACATTGTTTTCCAAGGCAGGAAATAATATAAAGTATAGCATTTAAAAATAAATAAATAAAGTTCAGTCAGTCTCTGAAGAATACAAAAAGTTTAATAGTTCTACCAACAGTTAGCATAATTACGGCGGTTTGAGTTGTTCTTTGCATTGGCAAATCAAAAGTATTGTATGTAGTTATGCATAATTATTTGTTGATATAGGACTAACTTTATTGGAATCTGAAATAACACAAAAGGAGGCTTTCACCCATCCATAGCTACATAGTCCAGTCACACTGATGAGACCACCTGTCAAAAGGTAGAATAACCACCAGCACCGATGAGGTTCTGGAAGGTACTCACAGTGTGTGTAGCCAAGCAATAAGAGTGTCATGGCCAGCTGTGCCAGGTTGCGCAAATGAGGATCCATGGCACATACAACCTTATAAAGGTGGTCCTACAGATTCTCAATTGGTTTATGTCCAAAGAGTTTGGTGGCAGGGAAGTATGGTAAACTCACCCGAGTGCTCTTCGAACCACGCACATAAAGTGCGAGCTGTATGACACATCACACTGTCTTGCTGGAAGATGCCATTCTGCTGAGAAAAAACAATCTGCATGTATGACATGGTCCGCAAGCACAGATGCATACTTCAGCTTATCCACCGTGCCTTTCAATGAAGATTGGACCCAAGAAATGGCAAGAAAACATTCTTCAGACCATAATGCTCTCTCCTGCTACTAAGAACTTGCTAGCAATTATTGCAAGGTGTTTGTTTTCAGATGTTTCAAGTCATACACGCCAAGGCTTATCAGTCTGATACAGCATAAAATGTAATTCATCAAAAAAAGCCACCTGTACTCAACTCAGTGGACATCCAGTTATGGTACTAGCGTGCAAATTCCAGCCTTTGTCAGCAATGAAGAGCAGGTACCAGATATATACTGCAAAGGCCCATACACAGCAACGTTCGCTGAACTGCTGTTGAGGACACACTGTTGGCAGCCCCTTGTTTCATCTGGATGGTTATTTGCTGAACAGTTACATATCTATTCACCTGAAGGCATCTCCACAGTTATTGTTCACCTATGTCGCCCATGGTGCACATTTTGCCACACTGCTGATTTTGGATAGTGTCTTTTTGTTGTGCACGGTATACTTTTACCACAGCAGCAAGCAAAGAGTTAACAAGAGTTAAACCATTTTGGAAATGTTTCCACACTTGGACTAGTACCCAATGATCATACTCTTTTGGATGTTGGATTAATCGCTGTTTTTGCATTACTGATTGCAATGTTTTCTGCTTCCCTCTAACACTTTTTATATACCCTCCACTACTACTGGTGCCATCTATCGGCCTGCTGTAACTGATTACTTCAGGTTGATGCCGAAAAGAGGCGGTGCTCACATTAATATGACCTAGATTGTGTATAGTGACTTCTTTAACCCCTTAACTGCCACGAACATATATACAGTCAAAAGTCTTTAATTCGGACGTCCATAATCTGGAATGATCTATAATCCGGGCCTCAAAGCTACAAACTTTCTGCACATGCGTTTACACATGCACAGTATAGAGAGTATAAAGTGCAATATTATTATAGAGAGTACTACAGTACAATGCAGAAATATTTCATACTGCTTTGTACAGAAATATGTGCCAACCAAGTATTGGTCTTTCCAAAAAAATATCTCAAGACCATTTCGTTCTTTTTCTTTTTTTTACCTTCTTCCGTTGCCTCTTGGTTATAAGAAGAGCAGATAAATGAGCATTCAGTTGAAAAAGTAAAACTTTGCGATGAGCTGACACAAAATAACGAACATAAGCAGAGCGAGCGTGGGAAATCAATCAAGCTGCAAAACAGCGCGAAAGGTGTAGACATATCCACGCATGCACAAATTTAGCTTCTCTCATTGTCCACAGCTTAGACCCCCGTCTTGCAAGTGTGACTGGAACTCCCATATTTTATGCCCTTATGACTATGCCTCTATGCTTTTTATGCCACCGCCTGAACGCAGCTTTATAGGCCATCTGGCAAACAGAACTGCCATTTAAAAAATGAGCATAATAAATTTGAACCTCCTCTACACAATTTTAGGAATTTTAGTGCTAAATCCATTTTAATACATCACAGATATAGATAAATATTTTTTCACTTCTATATCACCACTGTTGTTTTGGATCCCCTGCATAATTCTTCCTTTTATTTCACTGTAGTACAAAGGCCAATACACATCAACTTCATCTGAACACCCTGAAATTTTCTGAAACAGCTTGTTTATTAGCACAGAAAGATTTTAGGATGACAAACATCCAACAACCAATTGTACTTATTACTAATAAAAAAATTGGCGCTGCTTGAAATTCAAACTGCAGAAAGGAAGACAAACATTCATGGAAAAATTTGGCATTCTATGAGGTGGCCCAAAATGTTTTAAACATTTGTGTAAGATAAATGCCTAAAATTACTATTGAAGTTTTCTTCCTAGTTCCCCTTGACATCAGCACACATAGCAGTGATACATTAAACACTAGGTTTCAGTAAAAAGATATATTTGATCACAGACTTTAAACCATTTCTTAGTGGCATCTTTCAAACCATTAATGTAGCCATAATGCAAACACTGCAAATGTCGTTTCTCTTTTTAAAAGAAACATATAAAAAAGTCATTTGGAGAATAACATGAATACAAGGAAAGTTGATATCAAAATTGCTCAATAGTAGCTTGGGAAATTTGAACTTCACATGTGATATTTTGCATGCCATGCAAAATAACCTTTCTGCTGAGTTTGTCACAGCATTTTATTTTTAGAGCTTCTAAGAATAAACAGGTTGCCACAATAAATACCTACTATCATGGTATTTTGTGGTATATAAAAATAAGCAGAGGTCACTTTGCATCCCAAAATACACTGTCTAAAGTCTTCAGCACAATCGGTACTTGTGGAGTCAGGAAGATTGTGTTTTTTACCAAGCTCTCATTTTACTTCAGAGGTGAAACCATGTTTCATTTGTTACTAGCGGTGAATAAAATTTTATTAGCAGAGCTTTTCTCAAGAACATTTAAGCCAATATTTCTTCATATATGTCATCAACATTCAGGGTGCCCATCTGGCACAGACCTACAAAATTCCCAGCTTTCCATGCAGGATTTTTTACCTCGATGCCCAGTTCCACAGAAAACTGAAAAAGTATCACCCATCTGTTTCTTGTCATATGCTCCTCAAATTTATTTATTGCACATTTCTTGAGGGGTCACATCCACATTGTGGCCTGCTCTGGAATAATTTTCAACTGATGCTCTTCTCTATCTGAACTTCCCAACTTTTGATGGTAACAAAGGTATCATATCACCAGCTGCAATAATGCATTCATGAGTATTTCTTAGTTTTATGCATTTTTTTATCAAGAACTCAAACACCGAATGATATTTGATGTTGGAAATGACTGGTCTGGGTTTGACTAATAACATTGGAAATGAAGTGGATAAAAAAGGAGCATTCTTTAAAGACAATTATAATAAAAATACACTTTATTCAAAGCAGTCTTCCTGCAGCCACATAATTTTGCAAAACAACTATCAATGTCTAAATACCATTGTAAAGGCTACACTATACCTTGTAGTCATATCATAACAAGCATTTTGGCAGGGTAATAAAAGATCTGCATTTATAACAAAGTTTCTATGAAATTTATTTTCATTTTTTTCTACAAAAAATGATGACACTGTCTTCAAACATAAGTTTACTTTCATACAGCAAGTAGCATCTGCAGTTGCCACAACCACCATGAATGACTAAAAAATCACAGTTGGTATAGTACACAAAAAAAAAAAAAAAAAAAAAAAAAAAAAAAAAAAAAAAAACGATTTTCAGAAAATCTTGAAGTAAACATGCCCATTCTTTATTACAATTTTGCCTGAATTTTTGAAGAGCTGTTTACCTCTTCTGAAGCAAACATCATACAAGTATTTATCAAACTTTAGTTTTTAAAAAATGTGAAAATACAAGTTTTATGGTTTCAAGAAACAACATACTAAAGCTTGACATAGCTCACATAACATGTAAGCATAATGTCAGCATAATGGTTTAAATCCATTATCACAACAATACAACTATTGGAATCAATACAATACATCAGTCATGACACAGCACAACTGCAATCTTTGATTTTTTGCTTTTGACAACTCATATGGGATAGCAATAAACATGACAATTTTTGTCACATCAATAAGTCCATAACAGAGGGTAGATATCAATACTGAATTACAAAAAAGGTACCATGATTGGCATGTCTAATACCCAAACAAAAACCCTGAACTAGTCAAATCACACGAAAATCCTACATAAATGTTTCCATGCAACTAGCCATATATTTACAATGGTTCACATTTATTTTTTGACCTTGTGTTTCCCAGTTTTATTTATAAATATCTTCACTAGTATTTAGTAACTTTTAGTAAGTTTTTTTCATATATACTATCGATCACATTTTTTAAAACCTACTAGTTTTGAAAAGTAATTTGAAGCATTTTGGTGAAAAAAATAATTTACTCAAAATGTTCTGAAGATGAACTCGGAAACATATTTGAACATATTTGGACATATTGAACACAGTTTAAATAAAATAAAAATATGAAAATAACAGGATATTCAATATTTTGATGGATATCCTTTAGCTAAAACTAACTTTTCATACACTTTGACATGGATTCAATATGGACAACATGACATGGGATTTCATGTAAGAAGGTTCTATTTCATATTATTCCTCTGTAAGAATTGCTTTTAGAAGAGCTTTCAGAAAAATATCATGTTTCCCAATTCTTTCCCCAAATCTCTCCATATATGTTCGATTAGATTTAAGCCCAGAGAATATGGAAGAGTTCTGACAACTTCAGGACAGTTGTCAACTAACATTTAGGACTTTAGGATTGTTATACTAACAGAACTTTAATGCATTTTGCATTAGAAGTTTTCTTGTACAAGCTTTCAGGTTTTCATTAACCCCTTAAGCTACAACCGCATATGAGACATGCGGTCTTGTATTTGGTCAAAACTTATTATAACAAGCGCAATCCACAATACAACAGTCAGGCCAAATGTAAAGGTAAAAGTATAGTTTAGGGTACCCCGTGGCGAAACTTGGTGATTTTTGGCGGTACATGGATACCGATTTTGTGCAATTCTTTGACTCGTTATTTTGGCTTGCGAAAAAAATCGCCGCTTCACAAAGCCAAAATAACAAGACAAACAATTGCATAAACTCGGTATCCATGTACACACCGACTTATTTTCACTTTTAAAAAAAATCCCCGATTTGCACAAAAATGGCATTGCATACTCTTTTAACTTTATCCATGTACAAGTCGATTTATTTTCACTTAAAAAAAAATCCCAGAATTGCACAAACTTGCATTGCGCACTCCCTTTACTTTGTCCATGTACACATTGATATATTTTCAAAAGCCTCATGTGGGCTGGCTTGAAAAAAGATAGCTTTTTTGGAGTACACATCTAAGAAAATTAAAGAACAAAATTTTAAAAAGGGCAAATATGGATGAAGTGCCCATTACTTTTGAACTGTCCTCTGAGCAGAACTGTTTATTCAATAGGTTAAAAAAAACTATTTCAGTGTTAACAATCAGGAACTAAAAGACTTCTTTTACTTGTGTTTTGGGTTGTGCCACAAATGGAGAGAAGTTAACTCTTTTTGATAATTTTCAAAAGAAGCACAATTCCAAAAGGAAACTTCCCTAAAGGAGTTATTATTTGTGCCAACGAAAAAGGATGGGTGTGTGAAGAAGTGATGTTGGTCTGGCCAAGAAAAATTTATTGAAAAAGGAAAGGTGCTTTTTTCCAACCCTGAGGACTCATTGTTCTGGATTCAATGTGATCGCATTTAGCAGATACAGTAAGATTTAAAGCAAACAAATTTAGAACCGATGTATTAGTGATACCAGGTGGACTTAAAAAAAAATCTTACAGCAACTGGATCTCACTATCAATAGAATTTTCAAGCATGAACTACAAAAGCAGTAGGAGGAATGAATGCAAAGCGGACTACATTCCTTTAGAAATTCCGGATGAATGAGAAAAGGTTTGTATGAGGAGGCTGCCTTATGGGTCGATAAAGCATGGCAATCAGTCCGAGATTGTTTTAGCTTTCATTTAATCGGAAATCATTGAAAAAGAAAATGAAAGTGAAGATAGTGATGTTGAAAGAAGTGATATAGAACAGAATGATGAAATTGACCTTCATGGTCATTTATTAAATTTATTTAAATCTGACATCAATGAGTCAGATTTTAAAGGTTTTGTATAAAAAAATGTAGTTTAATTTAGTTATAAAATTCTGTTTGTTTAACTAATTTACGCATTCTTTTTCATAATATGGTAATTTATGCTGATAAACGAAGTTTACCGAAACAGTAAAAATAATATCTGTTAGAAATCCTCAGAGTTCGTTTTTGGCAAGTTCCAGGTAATATGTTTCTTCCTTATTTATTTATATATTACTGATTATATTTATGTTGTAAATGTTATAAAATACTATCAATGATGGTTACATCAATATGGCATGGAATTAATGAATAAATGAATATTAAGGGCTATATTTCAGAATGGTTTGCTATGGCATATACGGTAGTGTGGCATATTCAAGGACCATTAAATTTTTTTTCAGTCAATTATAATGTGTGCAGCGTATACGCCAGGGTGGCTTATCTACCTGAAATTACGGTATTTACAGTAATTCATGCCCGTTTGGTACAACTTAGGACCGATTTGTCAAACTGTGGACTGATTCCAAGGCTGTGTGATCTGGTTTACGTTTTGGACCCAAAATGTTGAAACATAAATCGTAGGTTAAGAGTTTAAGCATATTTATATATTTATGCTCATCCATTTCTTATCCCAGAGGCAGTGAAATATGCCCAATATATTAAGCCTTGACCTTCATGCTTAAAATAACTTTTTCAATTTTTTATTTGGCTTTTCCCATGCAGCAATTCATCCACAGGAGCTAAATATATTAAATTCTAACTCATTTAGAAATATAGCATTGCTTCGATATGATAAATCAGTACTTACATATTATGGCAACTACCTTGGCCTCAGAAGACTCAATTTTGCCATTTTTGTATGCATTCTTGTTGTTGTATTCCCAGTTATAATGGTTTTTATACACAAAAACTGTGATATTTCTTATCTTCAACTAAATTTTTAAATATGTCTTGTGGACCTCGTCAGCAGGGCTATGAAGTCGGAGTTGGAGTGAAGGAGTCAGAGTTAGGCAGATTTTGGGGTAAAAGGAGGAGCTGAAGTTGCTAAAAATATGTCGACTCCAAATCCAGTTTTTTTTGGGGGGGGGCAATTTGAATTGGAAATGAAATTAAATTGAAAAATAATTTAATGTCAAACTGAGTTGTTATTTTTATTTATGAACTATATACATTAACAAATAGTTATTTTCTATTTTATTGACATATTAATACATAAAATATAAAGGAGGAGGATGGATACGATATTTGCCATTATTGATTAAACTGATTAATTTAGTTACAAATCTCATTGGTAAATTTTGGTAAGCAGCAATAGCATTAAGAACTCCCAAAACTGATGCAATTCTTAGGAAGCGAGCATGAAAAGGAGCAATTATTGATCAAGCAACATGATGGGGAAGTACATTTTTGATGATATAGATCTTGTTAGAATTAAGAACATTTTTAGAAGATGTAGATAATCCTAGTTTTCACTGACAGAAAGACCATGGAATGATCTTGCAGAATTGGAAACTCTTCTTTTACACCATATGTACCCACAAAAAAAGCTACAATCTGAAAAATTAACAGGAGCTGAGAATGGAAGAATATGATGTTTGTTCTTTCTGAAATGGAGGGTTTATTGCAGAAGGAATCATTTCTTCAATGAAGAAAACAGAAAGTATATTGCTAGACAATGGGATCTTGCTTGGTTCAATGAATGTAGATCCAAAACACTGAATTTTGTTGGATGAAGAACAAATTAAAAAGGCAAAGAAAGCCATCTATGAACTTTAATTAATAAAATTATTCTCAGAATAACTGGAGCATTCAAATCAGAACAGTCAAACTGTAGACATTGCAACTGAGTCTCTATCATCCTCTTCCAGTAATAAATTAGATTTTGATAAATATTTAGATAATATTGAAAAGGCTAAGGCACAAAAATCGCTGCTACACAAGCCAAAATAACAAGTCAAAGAATTGTACAAACTCGGTATCCATGTACCACCAAAAATCACCAATTTTTGCCAAGGGGTACCCGTAAATATATTTCTTTCTTTTATGCAGGCATTATTTCAGTTCTTTATCGTCTTTTTTAAAACAAAGTTCTGATGCATATTTAGCAAATGCCAATACAAGAAGGCTAGCTAGTTTTTATTGCTAATATCCATACCACTCATGCAAAAAAAAAACTTCTGATTCTTATTTCAAGGCACTAAACTCGTTGATCACATGGTTAAATTAAAGCTATACTATTTGCTGGTAAATATGCTTAAGAGAAACATTTACATTATGCACTGCACAACTGTCAACAAAAAGAAAGCTTGAAATGAAGTGAAGCACATCATGATAAACTTTCTGAGTATGATAATCAAATTGGTTAATTTCTTATCAAAACTGAGATGAGGGATGCCTTCCAAGCATTAAGATTAAGGGTACAGCATCAGTCAAATAAGTTTCAGAAATATTATGAACAGTTCATAAATGAACTTTTGTGTAAAAGATATAATGAATATTTCATAAATATATGTCCGTGTTTTCTTAATTAGAGGTGCTATGTGTAAAACAACTTTTGGAACTACACTTGTACACTTAAGAACTTTTTGTTTCCCCTATTAATTCATGCTATTAAAAACTGCATACATTTGTGGTATTTATTGCCTAATACTTAAAAAACTAAAATAAGCACATGCCTATTAAAAGAGCTGACCTATGAAAAAAAGAAAATTTTAATTCCTTAGTTATTAAATTGCAGAAAAATTGTTCTAAAATAAAGATGCAGAGTTTTAATTTTAAAAATAGGAAACATACCTTAAAATTTTCTTAACTATTCACTCTCCACAGAAACTGTGCAAAATTCATCCTCTACAGGAAGAACAAGTAAAATTAATACAGAGAACAAAAGAACTATGACAAAAGCTATGAAAACAAAAATAAATTCTTTCCAATTTGAAATAAATATACCTTTTTTTTTTTTTTTTTTTTTTTTCCAGGGTACATGCACTCCTTAGAAAACCATGCAAAAAAAAATTGCGTAAAAAAATACATGCAAGATATGGTAAATTTGGGGACATGTTTCACAACTTTAAAAAATTGTGCAAGATGAAAAACTAAATGTTTTCCCAAAAATCCATGCAAAAAAGAGCAATAACAAAGTCTATACTATATATTTTTAAAACAAAAACAATTCATTTTTATTACCCCCAAAAAATGTAAAATCAGTAGTGTATGGTAAAAATTCAGTTTATAAGTACCGTATTTGCCGGCATATAAGAAGCACCCCTTTTTATACACTTTTTTGAAGGAAAACATTTTAATGAATTTACAGTACTTTAAATATAAAGCAATACTTTGTGCAAATACCCAATCTATCTAGGAAATAACACTTTTTAATCTTCTTGCTCAAAACCCAAACAGATAGTTTTTTTTAAAAAATCTGTTCTGTGAGAACGAAACGTTACTTACGTATTAACGCAACCAGGCCAAAATTAGCATAAATTGTCAAATTTGGCGACCCTACTTACGGCAACCCTACGTGTTACACGTAGTTTTGTAAAAACAGCATGTGGAGATTCACAAAATTTTCCTGCATTTTCGTGCAAATTTTTGTAATTTATGAGAAAATAGCAGTGTACATGGATAAAGTCAAGAGTGTGCGCAATGCCATTTTTGTGCAATTCCGGGATGTTTTTTTAAGTAAAAATAAGTCGACGTGTATATGGTTATGGCGAATACGGTTTTCAATGAGTGCTAAAAAGCAATAGCCAAAAGATTTCCGCCGAAAAAATAATTCTGCAACTTATTCAAATTCGAAACCGAAAGAGTTTAATTGCTATTTTATATTTTAAAACAAAATAATATAAAAAACTGTATTAAAAATTATCTGTAATTAATAAATGTACATTTTCTTTCTATTCATACTTTTTTACTCAAACTTACAAATAGCGCCAACCTGGTTGCGATAATACGTAAGTACCAACGAAACTTATCCCATACTAGTAGGGCAGGTTTGTTCACTGAACTCCACGTAACTAATATTCCAGCACTCCGCAAGGAAACAAAAAAAAAAAAAAAAATTGCATAATTCCAAATAGAGAAAACTTCCAGAAATGAATGTAATCATATACTGAGAACTGACATATAAGACGCAGTATCGACGTATATGTCTTATTCATAAGAGTCGGAAATCCGGACACGTCAGGACTTCGGCAATTCCGGATTTGGTATTTTTCCAGATAACCGATCATCAGTTTAAATCTAGTAAGATGGCATGTAGAAATTATAAAATTAAAAATATGAAATCATGATTTATGAAATAATGAAATATATATGATTTAAAGAATATCAAAATTTACAAAAAAAGAACTTAATATTTATTTATTTACCTTATTAAACAGTTCTTTCAAAGCAAGTTTCTTCGTTTTTTTTTTTTTTTTTTTTAAGCTAATACTTTCTCTTTAATTCTGTAGACAGACATAATCTCTTGTTTAGTTACATTGCTGAAGTCCTGTAACTGCAATTTTGAGAATTCCGACTAACTTGTCAATCAAAATTTTCTTGTTTTCCATAATTTCTCTCACTCACTTATATCGGTAGTGGTTGTTCTGGATCTAGAACCCTATTACAGATTTCATCATTCATTAATTGACTGATGATTGAGAAGCATTGTCATCACAATGAAAAACTTCTTTTATATAATCTTCATTTATTACCGCTTCTTCACATTTCTTTACAAAATCCGTTAATTGGAAAATTTCACTTTTGTTTTGCGATATCCGAAAACGTTTAAAATTAGCGGCTATCATCATCAAATTTAGATATGCTTCACTATACATATTTGGCTATGCATCATGAGCTTGGTGACTAACGACAAGTTGTTCCGTTAAATTTTATCTTGCTTCTCGTGCACTGAGACAGTTAAACCTGAATTGTATTAGTCTAGTTATTTATTATATTTATGTCTAGTTCTTGCACATGCTTAAGGCTTATTAGAGTTCTGAATAAATAAATTGCAACCATATACTTAAGCCTTATTGAGAGCCAGCGCTAGATATCTTACCGCCTGGTGCAGTCTCTGTGGATAATGAATTCTCTGACTTGATGTGGCCACACGAGCCCTTGCGCTGGTTCTGGGTTTATGAGAATAACAAATCAGTTATTTTTAATTAAAATAGCCCTAATTGTAATCTTTGGGTCTATGAGTATCAGCAACAAAATCTATTTTTAGCATATGGAAAGAAAGTTTTGGTAAATTTTTCGTCAACATTTTTAGTGCATTTAACTTAAATTTATAATCATTGCCAGGCGTAATGTCACCATAAAAGGTTACCATACTCTTTTATTATTCAATTACTAACATAAAAAAATTTTTTAGGTATCGCTACATGACTCATTACTCAATTTGTCATGTTTTGATAAACATGCGGTGATGAAAGGAAAGTATATTAAATAATGATTCGCCGGGTTAGCATCAGATTAGCGATATATCTATGTGGAATGTTTGGGTTTGAGATGTGTGCCAAGCACATATGCGGCAACGGAGCCTAATTACTGATCGTACAAATTTATGCTAAAATAATTGTTTCTTCAATAACAAGGTATTTTATTTAGTGTCGAAGTGGAATTAAAAATCGGGACTCTCCAGATGTTTTATTATGTATAGAGGGAGGGGAATTAAATGTGCATGCGTAAAGCCTAGGAGAAAATGTTGGTGGTTTTGAGGTACGGATTTCAGATAATTCCAGATAATGAAGTCCGGATTTCGGACTTTGCACTGTATTTATCGATACTTGACAAACAAGGGTGCACATCTATTATGAACTGGATGAAAAATGTAGCATCAGTAGATATGCCAAACACAACTGTCAGGTTTGATTCAATTGAGGAATTTCGTTCATTATTAACGGCCTCTGTTGGGTTGTTGTTGTTATTACAAAGTCCGTTATCAGCAACTTTTTGTTTCTGGTTTCTCAAGTTTCTTATGTAATTCTCAACATCCAGCTATACAAAACTTAAGGTTACATTGAAATTTTAATGTACACTCCATGTCAGGATCATGCGTAAGAAAAAGTTATTCCATACTCGTAGCAAATTTCAAGCCCTCGCAAATTAAATCAGCCATAATTAGCTGAAATTCACCATCAACTTTGTCATTATAAACTTCTTTATTATCATAAACTTTCATAAGTTCCATCAAATCATCCTCATCCAAAATGCTTTCTCGCATGAATTCTTCGATGTCAGCTGTTTGCATTTGTTAAAAACCTTCGCCATCAATTGCATTTGATAAGTTTTAATTTCAGAATCTGCTTGACAGCTATTTTGCACATGTGCATAAGGCTAGATGGATGCCACTCCTGCTTTTGCAAAGCTTTCATTCTTAACAAAAAGTTAAATAAATTCTTTGATAAAGTAGACCCAGTCACTAACACATGTTAGGGCATAAACCGAACTTTTGATCACACTGTCAAAATTAGAATTAAAAAAAATTGGGGGGAGGGCAGGGATTCATGTCAAAAAGTGCATTTGTTCTTATTGGTGAATTGTGTTATTTCAAAACCGTGTAAAAAAAAAAAAGTGTGTAAACGTATTTCAATTCTTGTATAAAACCTTATTTTCAACAAGTAACAGTAATTCTCCAAGAGACTGTGCAGAAAGATTTTGAGGAAACTTTTCATGTTAATGAATTTTCAACAAAAGAATTAAGAAATAAAATACACTTGGAAGCAATAAATACAGTATCACTGAAATACTCAGAACTTTATATTGTTCACTATCCAGATGAAGTGTAAAGCTATAACACAGGTTTAATGGCTTTACACATGACAAATCAAATGTGCATGCGTAAAGCCTATGAGAAAACATTGGTGGTTTTGAGGTCCGGATTTCAGACTTTGCACTGTATTTATCGATACCTGACAAACAAGGATGCACGTCTATTATGAACTGGATGAAAAATGTAACATCAGTAGATATGTTAGATATGCCTAGCACAACTGTCAGGTTTGATTCAATTGAGGAATTTTGTTCGTTATTAACGGCCTCTATTGGTTTGTTGTTATTACAAAGTCTGTTATCAGCAACTTTTTTTTTTTTTTGGTTTCTCAAGTTGCTTATATAATTCTCAATATCCAAATTCTAGCCAAACATTTTTTTTTTGTTTGTTTGTTTTGTTTAAACAATTAACTGAAAATGCCCGAGTGTCCTCTTTTCTATATACCCAAGGACTATTCTTTAATGGCTCCTTTCCTTGATGTCCTAAGGATGTGCTTAATTTGCTTAGTGGTTAATCGAGCCCAGAGGGCAGTTCTATTTGAAAAACAAATTTTTACACAGTCATCTTTGAAGGTACATCTGTTGGAATTCACATATTTACTCCATCACTCAACATTCCTGAAAGCATTAAGAGGCTCTTTTGGTGTATGTCACAGATCTGCTATCTCATCACTCTGAAACCTGAAATGTTGACCCTGCAAAACCATGTCGATAATAGAAAACAGTAGGGCTGGATGGAGGATAAAAAATCTGGTAAATCAGGTAGTTGTGGCATGAAAGAACTATAAAATTAGTAATGCAACAACCTATAAAACTATAAAATGTTTAGTGGAGATTTAGTCAAGATCTCAATTGATTTTGAGGGCAAACAGTTACAGGACACTCTTCGTCAGAAGCAAAGAAATCTGCATGACTGGAATATGTTTAGGCTCATACATGGAACAGAATGAATAAAAATATGTTTCTGATCAAAGAAATCCAAACTCCTTTGTTCAGTTACCTTTGGATATAAATGTGATATCCAACCAGATGACCAAACAAGCATGAATTCTGTTTGCAGTATAATAAACCCAAGGCTAATCTTTACTGTATGGTACCCCTTGGTTTTTGTCTGAAAAAATTGCCAAGTTGTTTGTGAAATCTAGAAGGCCACTGCGTGAAATAGGTTTTTCAGTAACCCTAATGTTGATAATGTTGGTAAAACTAGCCTTGGGAAAATTTTGGTTTTTTTTTTTTTTTTTTTTTTTTTTTTTTTTTTTTTTTAGTTGTTGTCATTAAAAAGGTGTTATTTCTGCAAATATCACCAAACATGTGATAAATTTGGATTTTGACTATTTTTAGTAATAGTACTTCTTTTATATGGACCTAGGCTTTTTTTGTTCTTCAAATTCTTTTCAATTGCTGTGTTTGGTTGCACGTGTGTGGCATGCTCTTGTATTTTGAACTTGCTATTATTTTGCTGTGGGTACCATCATTTGAGTATGTCTGAGGTGACTAAGAGGATGAATGTTGATGGGTTAGATTATGATGAAATTGTGAATTGGAGGTTTTTGTATGGGTTGGACGATGGACAAAAGAAATTTGATTTTTGCATGAAAGCTGGTTTAATCGCTAATAGATATGAATGAGGTGAAATGACAAAAAATTTAATTGAATTGCTTACCTGAAAGATGGTGGTGGAAAGCCTAAACATATACAGGTGGAAAAAAGGCTAAAAAGTGATGTTTCATTTATTTAGTCATCTCTGTGCGTCAATTTTTGTTAAAAGATTTGTTGTTTAATGTTTTTGTGATGGGAAATACATATTTTTGGTTACTTATTCCTCTGTGTATTTTTGGTTATTTGTTCGTCTCTGTGTGTTAAGACAGCAATGAACGTTTTTTGGTTACCATGATAGTTTTCTGATTTTGGGTAAGTGAAAACAGATCGATGCGCACACGGACAAAGTTAAGGCAGTGCACAATACCTAGTTTGTGCAATTCTGATTTTTTTTTTTTTTTTTTTTTTAAAGTTAAAATAGATCAGTGTGTACATGGACATTGAGTATGTGCAAGTCCTTGACTTCTTATTTTGGTTTTTTGTAGATGCCATCTTGAAATTTTTACCTAAAACCTATACTGTCCTTCATACACTGCTTCTGATGAGAGTATGCTAGCAACCATATTCAAGAATCATAAGTTTTATACATGTGGCATGACTATTTTGCGAATGTTTTTGATACAAAAATAAGTATTCCTTTGTAACATTAATCACTTAATAAGGTAACATTAAACCTGTTTTTTGTTATAACTTAATAACATTTGCCACATAAACTGATATTTGCTAAACTAGTTTTATCATAAAAACTGATATAACTTGTAACTGGCATTAATATCAAAATATTCTTTCTCAAAAAGGAAAAAATAAAGATTTAAAGTTCTAAAATTTATTTATTAATTTAAAGTTCTTAATTTAAAGTTGATAAAGTTTGATTTATTAAAGTTTTTAATTTAAAGTTGATAAAGTTTCTTGTATTACATTCCCCCTAGAAAAAGTATGTTATATCCAATGATATTAAAAAAAAAAAAAAAAAAAACCAATAATAATAAAAATAAAGCAAGGTAAAGATATATTCAGCAAATAGTTTCACACACATTTCAAATTCAAAGAAATATCTGCATAAACTGGGACTACAGTTTTTATATGCAGCAAGGACAACAGCACTCTGTTGAAGACAGCAAAAGTTGTACTTAAAGTTTGTAAGGTAACACATAAAAAGTAGGTACTTTCTTTTAGATATATTTGTTTTGACACATTTACAATTTCAGCAGGATACCTTACTATTTCATCACAAAACAATATACGCATAAAATGAGCATCCAATAGCAATGCCAACTTTGTGATTTTTGTTTTTATTTTTATTACTATTTTAATATCTTTCACTTGTAGCTATCACCTTACATTATTCTGCAATTTTCCAGGTCTGCAATTCCAAAGTTCATGCGAAAAATACAGTGAAATATATATATACACACGCACACATTTTACATAAATATATCTTTATCACATAGTAACACTAACTATTGCTCCTTACCGTTACTACAAACGTATACAAACACATGAAAAAAATAATATTATATTTATATAATATTTTAACTCTTCACACTTAAAAAACACTGTAAGCTATGCATTCTAACTTTAGATTAAGGTAATCCATAATCAAAAAAGTCGATTCAAATTTTCCATTGACAAAACAAACTTCTCTTTGGCACATAAACCGTTTTGGAGACGAAATGACGACAGAATTTTTAAATCTCTTTGATGGAAAAAGAAATTATTTCTAAAAAATTGTTAAATTACTTTAGATCTCGATATTTAATACGTAATACTTTACCAACAGTGCTAAGAAAAACATTTAAGATACGTTGATAAGGCACCCACTTACATCAAATATAATAAGCCCACTTACATGATGATGGTCTACGACGCAAATTTTGCACGTAACTGGCGAATTGATTAAATCATTGTTCGGCATTAAAATTACTATATTAAGAAGAGAAAAAAATCAGCATTGAAGTTCAGTAAAATCTTAGCACTGAAGTCAAGTAAAATCAACACTGAAATAAGTTAAGTCTGGTACAAATCAAATATATAAAAGAGTACACTCACATTATACAGAAACAAATCACTCCAAAAACACGATGCCTAAAACCCAATAAAATATTCTGAAACTGAAATTCATAAGATGAGGATACGTATTTAGCGTACAGTAAAAATTGGTAAACAATGACCAAAATATGCACACAATTTGTCAAAACGGTGATTTTAAATATAGATAAGAAGTAAAAAACAATATGGAATTCTAAAAACTGCTATATTGTTTCATTAATAATATATTCGTTATCATATAATTGTCTTCAAAAACACAGTTCTAATATTTGACAATCTTTTCGCTCCACGAATCCACCTCGCAGTCCGCGACTTTACCAACAAATCAACAAAACTTAATAAATAGAGCGAAGAAGACGGGAAAAAAAAATGAACACTAGAGCTGGAGCAAACCGCATGTATTCGTTACTGAGTAACGGGTACATCGGTTGACTCGAAGTACCGATTCAGTACTCACAAATTCATTTCGTTACTCGCATCTGTTCGTTACTCGCATCTTTCGTACGATGCGGTTTGTTCGAGTACGAATGATGCGGTTTCTATGCGAATACGAATGATGCGGTTGCTGTTCGAATACGAATGATACGGTTGCATCACAATGCGCTCATATTTTTCATAGATAATTTTGAATTTTTTTGGGCATCGGGCAAACTCTTGTTTACATTATGTGTTTTAGTTGAAATACTATTTAGTTTGTTGATATTTAAGAAAATGAGCAATTTTGATAGCGTGAAGCGTTATTTTGTATTTGCTTTTTACTATTGCTATTTATGTTTGTAATTTGAAAATTTAGATAATTCATCTTTTTTTTTTTTTTTTTTTTTTTTTTTTTTTTTTTTTTTTTCCCTTGAGCGTGCCATAGTCAGATTTTATTGATTTGAAATATTTATATACTGCACTTAGGTATTGTTTATATAAGAATATGTAGGTTAATATAGGTTCTTTACTTCCTTGTATCAAATAAAATGGTAGCAATTATTGTAATCGAGAAAACGTTTGGGTATCATATTTTAACGGAAATATCCGTTTTTTTGACGATTACGGAATCCATGTGAATTTTTTTGGGCTGACGCCTGTACTACGAACAAACTGATCTCTCTTTTTTTTTTTTTTTTTCAAAAAACTTTTTTTTTTTTTTTTTTTTTTTCAAAAAAACTTATTGTTAAATGTAATCCCATTTACTCTAAGCTGATACTTATGACTAATGATTATGACTCTAAGTTGATACTTGAAAGGGATTTTTTTCGTGATGTGTAAGTACGTATGTATGCATTTTGCATAACTCAAAAACGGTTAGTTATAGAACGTTGAAATTTTGTATATGGGTCCGTTATAACATCTAGATGTGCACCTCCCTTTTTATTGCAATCGGTAATACTACCAAACGTAAATATGTATATATATATCAAATAAATTATAATTAAATGTAAAGTACACACACACACACATATATATATAAAAGCCAAGTAAGGCGAAAATAAAAGCTTTGGCTTTTTTTTTTATTTAATTATCACTAAATAAGTTACTTGACTTTTATTTTCGCAATCATTGGTTGTAGTCAGGACTTAATTTTTAAAATTAGAAGTGCTGGAGCTCTATGGAAGGCAATCAGGAAAGATGAATAAATAAATAAATAAATAAAAATAAATAAAATAAGTATTACAATAATAAAATAATTAGCAACTAGAATATTAAATTATTATTATAATTCAATAAAAATTTAAAGACAAATGAAAATTTAATTAATGAATAACTAAGTAATGAAATAAAATACCAAACATCGTCTTGTTTGGGGGCTGTGGCTAAAATTGCAATTTAAGAACTAAGCCGAGCATTAGCTAAATTTAGGCTTTTGATGAGCAAATAATGTACTGTTTACCAGAGTATAGATAGAAATTTGGTTATGTAGCCCATTCTTCTAAAACGACGTTTCGTAGCTGCCTTCCACCACCAATTCCTTTTTTTTTTTTTTTTTTTTTTTTTTTCGGTTTCGGTTTATTCGGTTACAGCAAAGCACACTAGGGCTATTGCCTACGGGGAGGGAGGCCTTCGTGGAGGATTTTTTAAAGGGAACTGACTCATATGCAAGTTACACACGGGAATAACAATGAAAACGCCCGTGCAGCTAGCCGTTAGCCGGGAATTGAACCCCGGACCGAACTATTAGTGGACTTTACCGCTCGAGCTCTGGTGGGCTCTTTTTTTCTTTTCATTCGCTGTTTGAAAAACGGGTGTTCACTTTACGATAAAGTAAGCACCTGTTTACTTCAATTAAAATGGGTTAGACGATATGACTCTTCCTACTTTAATCTCACTTAGCTTTTGATTTCTAATATTGATTCAATGTTTTCTGTAGACAAAGTATTCTGATTAGAATAATAGATTTCAAACATGTTCAAAAGGTGTGTATCTGAATATAATTAGGTTTTTATAACATAGGGCCCATTTTATTAGTTTCACATAGTTCTAAAGCAATTGAACCACAGCATCGCTGTTTTGAAAGAAAGTAAAAATGTGAGAAATGTATAATGAACATTAATATACAAGCTTTATTAAAAGTAGTCAGCCTTTTAAAACGTGACCGTCTATGCTTTTAGAGGATTTTTGGAGCTCTGTGCATTTGCTCTGGCATCTTAAAAAAGTGATGTTCAATATCAACGTATGTTTATGTTCTCAAAAATACAGGTTTCTTTCAGAAAGCGACCTCTTAGAAGTCGTCAATAAATGATTCAGTATAGTTATTTTCTAATAATAGACCATAGAATAAATTTATTTTAACGTCAATTTAAAAATGGCTGCTTGTACTAAGAGTTAAGAGCAATAAGACTCTAATTTTTCTTTCGCAATTAGCTGTCATGCCAGCTGAATTGTTTTCTGCATAATCTTTATTGTGTATAATTGAAATATTTAGCTATGCATTCAACAAATATACAACAAATGTAAGACAAATCATTAAAAAAATTAAAATTTGGAACATTAATGAATAATTTTTTTGTTATACATAAAATATTATTAATGAATGATGAATTTATATCATATTATATATAAATCAAAATTTAAACTCCTATTCCTTTATAATAAATTGAAGAAAAGCTATAAAGTGAATTAATTTTTAAAAACAAAACGAAAATTTAAAAAAAAAAATTTGTCATATACCTAGAATCTAAAAATGACGAATACTGAATTTTACGACTCATGTGTGTATGGGTGTATTTAATTATGGCAAGGCACACTATGGCTATCTGCCTAAGGGGGGATGCCTTCGTGGAGGACTTTCTAAGGGAAACTGGCTCGTATACACGTTACACATGGGGAAAACCACGAAAACACCCCATGTAGCCGGACCGTTCGCGGGATTCGAACCTCGGACCGAACTACCAGTGTTCAGCGACTTTACCGCTCGGCCGCTGGTGGGCCGTTTTACGACTCATATAATAATAAATGCATATTCATATTGTAACAGAAATTTTGTTAGAAGTCTAGCATATGTATAGTTATTTGTGATCTTTTAAAACTGTCGTAACATGATGCATATTTATCATTATCGTGAACCAAAACAGTATGCTTTACATCCTTACAAATATACGTGATAGATTTTAATATTTATTTCTGCATATACTTACGTTTCCCAAAGACACGAAAGCAAGTCAAGCAGATTTTTGTTGTATTAAGCAGACTTAAGTTCTCTGTTAGCTAGTGTAACATAATTTCGGATGTTAGTGTAACATAATTTCGGATTCTATGAGCCTTCCAGAATTATTAGCAAAATAGTGGAAACGTCTTTACAAAGTGTTTTTATAAGCAAACAGCAGATGTACACTGAGCAGTGATCAACTGATATATTTCTTAAATGATTTGGTTTAGTTGATTATGACAAAACACACACTGGGGCTATGTGCCTAAAGGAAAAATGCCTTCGTAGAGCACTTTCTTAGGAAAGCTGGCTCGTATGGTACGTGGTAAGCTGGCTTGTAAGCTGGTACGGGAAAAAAAACCACGAAAACGCTTATGAAGCCAACCCCGTTTGCCTGAGATCGAACTCAATACCAAATACCATGATTAATAAAAGATAGAGAACTTCTTAATTGTAAAATAAATGTAAGTATTCGAACAATTAACATTTTCCAAATAACAAATATTTTCTTTCGTCATTTGTATTTGGGAAAAGTTTTTATGGTCATTATGAAAAAGTGAAAATTTGATATGGATTCCGCATGACTTCCTTCTACGACTATTTAAATTATGCTTATTTTTGCTGCACTTCATTTAAACTTATTTCCTCGAATTATTCTAACTCAATTAAGCGATACCCGAAGGCAAGTTACAAATGGCATCAAACATTGCAAATTTTGAAACTAAATTTCCCGGTCAATCTTTGTCCTACGGGACTCAAACTTCTTGTATTTTTATTTTTCATAACGAAGTATAAAACTTTGCCAGATATAAATATAGAAACCAGAAGACGACATTAAAAGTTAGATTTCATAATTTGTCCAAAATTAATTCTTTTTTAAATTTGACATTGACAAAATATGAATATTTTCGTCATTTAAAATACTTCTGTATTTTTGTTGCACCGTATTTAAACTTGCTTCCTCGAGTTATTGACATTAAATTACATTAATTCCATTATCTATCGGAAAATAATTATAGCAAATCATCTATTTACGACATCTCTAAGAGGTCACCTTTTAAGAGATCTCTATTTTTGGGAACATAAACAAACATTGGTAGTGAACATCATCTTTTTAAGACCACCACATGTAAAATCCTCTAAAAGCATGAATGGTTGCATTTAATGAGGACCCATTACTTTTAATAAGGAATGTAACATTAATCTTAATTATACATGTTTTTGATGTGTGTGCCAAAATAGTGATAACCGTACTTCTGTTGCTTTAGAAATGTGTGAAATTAAAAAAATGGATACTATACAACAAAAATGTTATTATATTCAGATACACACCTTTTGAACACGTCTGAAATTCATTATTCTGCTCAACATAATTTGTCTGCATAAAATATTAAATAATATTAAAAAATCAAAAGCTAAGTCGAAGTAGAAACAGTCATCTCTTCTAAAACCATTTTAATTGAAGTAAACAGACGTTCGCCTTATCGTAAAGTAAACACCTATTTTTCAAACAGCGGATGAAACGGGAAAGAGGGAATTGGTGGGGGAAGGCAGCGAACGAAATAACACTTTTTCGAGCTGGGGATGAAATGAGAAAGGACGAAACGATACTAAGCCAATAAGACAAGATCTGGTATTTTACTTTATTATTTAATTAGTCATCATAAATTTAAAAATTATTTTAATTTTTATTTGTTTTTACATTTTTATTAAATTGTTACTTATAAGTATTTTATATTTCAGTTGCTAATTATTATGTTACTTTAATTATTCATTATTTTAATCACTATTTTTTTATTTTAATTATTAAGTTT